TATATATATAACACATTTCGTGTGTAGTACAGTGCCTATGTCCTTGTATACACACGTGGGTCGGTGGCCCGACTCCACGATCTGGGCTCACCAACCCCTCCATCCCTCCAGGGTCGGAATTGGCACCAGAACTGTCTTTAAGGATAGTAGCACTGTTTTAACACATCGATAGGCCACCGCGAATAATTGTAGAGGCCAAATATGCATTCAGTCACCTCCAACGATGATTAAGGAAGTCGAATATAAGGCGCATCCCTTCGGGATTGACCAACGACGAAAACTTTATCCTTCTTTTAAACAACATGTCTCGCTAAATCGCGACAACAAACATCGAATGATAAGGAAGTTTCCTTATATCTGAACGTCTTTTAATGAACACTACGTAGAAATCCTCACCGGATCTTCAATTTCTCTAGCTGTTGTCACGTCATCAGTCGGCTAGAATGAAAAGCGTAAAAGTAACAGGGATATGAAAAACTCTCCCTATGTTTCTCATCACAACAACAAGAAAAAATTACTAAAATTTTCCATTAACAAAGTTTACAACTGATGAAGATTGGAGAAAAATCTTAAGTGTTAGCAAAATAAATCTGTAAATAATTTGAAACACTTTTGTTTACCTCATCATTGGATGGTTTTGCCTGCGAAGCTGGACCGATATTCCCTTTCGGTACACTTTGGGCAGATAATTTTTCTGTTGATGCAACGGATGGAGGTGCAGCAATTTTCTCTGCTTCTGACGTAGGGATTTTCGGTGATGGAGCAGCTTCTTGCGGAGGAGCAACGGTTTTCGCCGCCGGTGAGGAAGGTTGTTCGGATGTCAAAGCGGTTTTCTCTGACGGTGCGGCAGTCACAGCCGTTGTCGCTTCTGAAGCAGGTGTTCTCGGTGATGGAGCAGCTTCTTCCGGAGGAACAGCGGTTTTTGCCGCTTTCGGGGAAGGTTGGTCGGATGGCAGAGCGGTTGGCTCCGACGGTGTGGCAGTCACTGCTGTTGTCTTTGTTGGCTGAATGGAGATACACTAATGAGTACAAGATATTTTTTGTAAAATGTAGGATTTCTCTTTATAAATGATAAAAAAGCACTAAACGATGTGCATAGAAAAGCAAGCGATAAACTGAAGAAAAACACTGAATATGGGTATTGCAAGGAGTAGCTTTTCTCTAGTACGCTCTAGTTGTTAAAGCTGCAAGTGAAACATCCTTGCCCATGACTAATGACTACTCTATTCGCCTACAAGAGGAAGTTTCTTTACTGCAAGAATGGAGAGGGCTTTTAAGATATAACTCTTTCCCGAAACACTTTCACTACAGCAGTAATTCGACTGAGAAGGTGCCGGACGTCGCAGCTGCATCAACGAAATGGGAAGATGGATGAAAGCGCTGATGTTAACACTACTAACACATCAGCCATCTCCTTTTGTTCAGGTGCATTGTAAAAGCAATTTCATCTCTGTGCAACATAAAGAAGTTTCTAGCCGAAAAAAAGATTTAGCACGCGAAGTATTGTGTGTTTCGATATTGACCGTTTACCGGCTACATTATGCTCAAACTTCACTACAGTACCGCTTTCCGAGAGGTTACAATCGCGTTCTTCAGAGGCTACGACAATTTCCTTTAACATGAACCAAACTGTGTGTCAATAATTTGTCGACCATCAGATACCTGTCTAGAGGGTTTGACACACCAGAACTCAGAATGTAGTGTCAAACGACAACCCGACGTCACCTGTTCATAAGACATTATAGTACGTAGTGCTGTCATCGACACCGACAACAGAGTGACAAATTCTGAATCTGTACGTTTTTCTAAATGGTCCAAAATTGATCAGATATTATCTTCATCGTACTAATAAGTTAAGGAAGGAATGCTCAACTGATAACTAAGTCTAGAATGACTGTGCCCAAAAAGTAGGGATTTCCATAGCAATTACCAGTTTTACAGCAGGCCCTGAATTCTGAATATGGCTCTACAGAATTAACCTTAGTCGCATGTACAGTATAAAATCGATGAGTGAATATATCGATCGACATGAGGGCTCACGAAAAACGGATGATATCTGTTACTTGGCAGAAGTGAGTTTCTTTTTTTCTAAACAGCGAATCAATATCATCAAACCGTGTTTAAAGAGGCGGTGCAATAACACACATAATGTCGCTGGTTGCTCAGAAAAACCAAGCCTTTCATACCATCTGGATCGGGGATCTCGTAACAGATGTGCCTGGGAAGAACTCCCTCCGACTTTCGATTTTTACGTGTAGGTTTGCCTGCTGCTTTAGGATTTGACCTTACTCATTAATGTCGTTGAATGGTGGCAGAATTGATCCTCCATGGAATCCTGGGATAGCTCCCCAAACTGAGTTTAGTGAAAGAGCGGATGACAAACCAGCGACCGACTCTGTGATGAAGACATAGGAACGCTGTTGTATAGCTAGCCATCTTAGGGTTCCAGGAATAATCAGCTCAACCATAATTCAACAGCATTCATGAAAAGGGTCAAATCTCCGAGTAGCAGACGAACCAAGATCGGAAAACCTTCGCGGACGACGGATCCGAGGTGACGAACCGAGTAGAAGTGCTGGCAATCTCTATAACATATGACATTGAATAGTGTAAAAGGAAACTTCTTTAGCCGTTAATTTGTCGCCTGTCGACAACTGTTCCCTTACTGAAACCCTCTGGAAAGTAAAACACTCATATTCAGCGCTACCAAAGAAGTCAATTTTCACCATTATTCACTGTAATATAAGAGCTTACCTTTTTCTGACCGCCTTCATCGCTGCTTCTCCAAACGCGTATATGGTAGAAAATTTCTAGTGGTGAGAAGATAAGTAGTAATGCTAATCCCTTACCTTTTTCTGCTGAAGGTAGAGATACAGTAATCCAGCAATTAAAATCACAACGGCAAGTAGAACCGACATAGCCGATGCCTACTGGATAGAAATGACAACCTTTCAAAAGTCATTCACTTTTATAGGTACGTATACTAATCAACACTACCAGTATCAGTGACAGCGACGAAATCCATCGAAAAGCGCTATCGAAGAAAATGTCAGAACTCGAGTGCTTCATTCCATTTGCTTTCTAAAAGGATAAAAAGATGAAGCTCTCGACGTTGAGCAATTCCTGAGGTATGCGTCATGCATTGGACTTCATTAAGCATCGTTTGGAGGTTATTGAATGCATATCTGGCCTTTACAACGAGTTGCGGTGGCCTACTGATGCATCGAGGCAGTGCTGCTACCCTCCCAGACAAGTCTGGTACCAATTTGCCGACTGCGGAGGGATGGAAGGCTTGATGTACCACGGGCACGGGATTGTTTCCATGTGTGTGTTACAGGGCGCCTCCGACTACTGCGCTATACGTCCCTTTATTTACTTACTAGGAACTGTTTTTTGGAACACTATACATCCCCTTTGTGTTTTTAGGAACTCTGAAATTATTCATTACTTCGAAAAATTTTACAAGCATTTCTGAAGTATCCTTTTTCAAAACCATATAAATTGGTCTCATATTTATCTGGGAGTATAAATACATTAACTTGATACATCGCTAGTCCCCGAAAGTTAACTATGCACTAGGTGATCGAGATCACCCACATTACTGCCACGAATGGAGGCGAATGCGTACCGCATCCCTAAAGGGTTGATCAGTGCTGGACACTTTGTCTTTTAATTTTCCTATCACAGTCAATAATGAATCAATAAGGAATCAATAAACGTTTGGTCAGTCGCTTCGATAGATCGGCCCAGACTGTCGCCCTTGCGACAAATTCCGGAAAACATTGAGTACGATTGATTAGTATACAAAGTGTTATCACAATAAGTTAACCTTCATTTCTGAACATTTAGAACCTTTCATAAAGTAGTTAAAAAAAGATCTCGATAGAAATCCCGGTAAATTTTGAAGTTCTCAAGCATTCCATCAAGCCTATTGAATTTTTATAAACTCCAATTTATTAAATCTACCATTTTATTGAAAATCTTACTTTTTCATCTACATCTTCGACAATTGCATTATTCATTTTTATGACCTGAATTCATAAACATTCCAGATCCTAGCACTTCTCTGCACAGCTTTCGCAGACCTCCTGGGTCTTCATGGTAAGAAATCACCGGCATCTGTGCAGCGGGGAAAAACCTTTCACAGACAAGTTAGGAGCGAATTTTCCAACCTCAGAGTGAAGTGCAATTTCAGTGACCGGAGGCGGGGCTGAACCAGTGACCATGCGTGCACCGCTGCACGAAATCGCTAATCAATGTGTTTCTCTAGCACCATATCATTCAATGTCATCGTTTATAATTCAGATTTATGGCAAGGGAGATCTCTATTCGGTATGGAAAAGTCTAGAAAACCTCACACCTTTATGATTCATTCAAATGTTCGCATGAAAGAGCAGATAATCTTAACCTTTTTATTTACTGCCTATTGTTTTTAATGGCAGGGTATGTTGCGAAATATAACTTCTATAATGTTGAGATATTTGCAAAATTCCGGACCGCAGGTGTCTGCGGTGGGGAACGAACGCGCTATTATCCTTTCCGGGGAGTAACGCGTTCACCACCACATCACGCGGGTACTTCTTTGATGTTTTGTGAACTGACGAAGCAAATCAATTGTGATTCAGTCGTGTGGAAAAGCCCAAAATTTGAAAGATTTCTTTTTAAAAGTCGTCCCGAATGACTCGTTTCGACAGGCGAAACGAAGGACCCACATGGCGTGGTGGTGAACGCGTTACTCCCCGTAAATGATAATGGCGCGTTCGTCCCCACCGCACACACCTGCGGCCCGGAGTTTTACAAATATCTCAGCATTATAGGAGAGCAAATATTCAGCTGGCCCACGAATTCGTGAGGAAACAACGGCGATCCATTGAGTGATCGATGTCAGCCACGAACATTATCTTCCCATAGTCTAGAAAGTAATGGTCTTAAAAAGCCAATGACAAGTATAAGGACAAACATAAGTACAAAACTGTAGCTAAGGACAGCTGACGTCAGCACAAGAAATGACGTGTTCGTATGGAGAGAGAAGATCGATAACTGTGAGATTCATTACACCACTAACGAACGAGATTCGTTCGAACTGATGTTCAACGCTCCTGTCGTCGTCTTCATGCTGTACATTCAGATTATTGAGCAGTGTATGCGAGAAGAGAGTAAATCTGTACGTTTTCCTCTTGTTATTGTCACCATTACTAATGTTACTTCAGCTTCTTTAGCTTTCTTATTTACGAAAATCCCAGCTTTTTCCACCGGTATACAACTACCAATAACTCAACTATTTGATAAACTGAGGACTTTACAGATTTATATAAATAGAGACAAGATGATTTGAAGACCATTTCCCAGCATGCATGAGACATATACGACTCATATCGTCACAAATTTGTTGTTAATTGATGCTACAGCAGATTATCCACACATCCGCAATTTGAAAGAAGGCTATTGATTTAGTAGAAAAGGAATCGTATGAAAGAAATCTTGCGAGGAAACAAGAACAATTGCGTAGGTAGTAGTACATTGGACTCCACGCATGCCGTCGGAAATGACCCCACTAAGAATGCGTTCAAGCCAATGAATATTTTCGTCAAAGTTTTAATATATTAGGGTAGTTTTCGGTAATTTCACAGCCTGTTGATGATCTTCTAGAAATCACTGAAATATATTTGATTCAGATTATTGATTCAGAACGATTCATTGTGTGATTCCTGTGAGCATTTCCTGTCAGCGTTAAAGCTTGAAGTTCCACGAAAGCTCGACTCAGTAGTGGAAAAAACTCGAGAAGCTGGTGAGCTCTAACAAGTAAGGGTTATTTCCTCACTAAGCTTATGCTTTAGCTCGAGAGTACATACCGTACTACAACTCCGTAGATGGCTATATCTTTGAGTTCTTCGGGAGAAGTTTACGTCGTCTCTCGACGACGTTGCTCGGCTTTCTTTACCCCAGACAGGCATGTGCAATGATCATGATGTGCTGAGTATAACTGTTCAAGCACTTGTAATTTATGATTTAAAACGCTCTTTCTCGAGTTTGGAATGATTAGGGTACTTTACTAATAGAAATCGTATCTCTGCTAGATGAACTTCTTCCGTTGTATTTTGACTTTGTCACAATCTACTCAAGAAGTCTGACGAATGAAGACGTCTACAAGAGGTCAGATTCCACTTTGTGAGATTATTTGAGACTGCCCTAGATCGTATAAAGATTATAGTAACCTGTATTACGATGACTGTTGATCGGCACTGGTCAAAATTACATCCAGAACCTTAGGGGTGCTGCTGCCCGCTAGCTTCCCAAACAGCACGATCGACCAATACCTATGCTTAACGTTAAAGTCGGTGCTACAATCATACGGGAACACAGCAGGGCTACCTTTCACGTATTTTGATTGATTTGTAACTTTAATCGGGTATGAAACAAATAATTCATCAAGAGACAGTGTCAGACTATGAACTCAGGTATAGTTAAGGAAATGCGGTGTAAATCAATGAACTAATCGTAAGCGCAACTTTCAAAGACATCTCCAGCAAAGACTCCTTCTGAATTGGTTAGCATTCATACTGACCGCTCAACAATATGATAAAAGTGGTTTACTTGACGGTACTGCGTGCTCCTAAGGATCAGATTTCAGTAATAAAGATTCACTGCGACAACCGATGAATTCAATCAATAAGCCGAATAATCAAGGCCAATCACAAAATCCATAAGACCACCAGAGGAGATAATTTCAATGTTCGTTCAAGAAGCACAGAAAAAGCCATGAACATTTGTTCGATCGCTCATCATTAAGCTTCTCATTGCTAGCGATGTACAAGTATTCTAGGAACACGACTTTCTTCGTAATCACGACCGTTGTCACATATTCGACGCGCTCTACGCCCACCCTTGCAAGAAACCGTTCCGTAGGTCTGGTAGATGCATTAGTGCAGTACTTTCACGTTGTTCCAGTGCTGTATCTATTGCATTTGTACTTTTGGTAAAATACTTTTATTATGTGATTATTTCACAGGATCTAAATAATAAATTGCACCTTATCTTTGCACAAAAGTCTTCTGTGTCAAAGGACAAGTTATACTTTATCGAGGAAAGGTTTACGTCCAAAGATGAAACCCTACGCTTTCCTTGTTTGTTTTTTAAAGTGTTCTTTACATCTCATAGAATAATTTGAAGGGATCTAATGCGTAGTTTCTTCCTTCGAGACATTCTTTGCTGTGGAATTACTGTTTCGTGTAGCTTCCGCATATCCTGTACTTGACTCTGCTAGATCCATTAGTGTAGTACTTTCACGTTGTCTCAGTACTGTATCTGTTGTGTTTGTACTTTTAATGGAGCACTTCCATGTATGTCCAAAGGTGAATCCATACAGTTTCCTTCTTTCTTCATTCCTGTAATTAACTCCTCATGTTAAATGAATGTGCATTGTGTTGTTTCAAATCTCATTTCCGATTCATGAGTGTTGCTGACGTCACCCAGTGACAAGCTCTGGTAATGTGACGGCGTTTTTGCGACCGTCGTCCTACAGCATCAACTTCACCTACACTCAAATGTTACTTTACTGCTGATTGCAACTATTCTTCATAAGGATGTCATCTGTAAGCCTTCTTTCCTTGTTATGCCCTATTTTAGGAGGATATTGTCTCTTTCTGTTAGTACAAGTACTTGTAAGGTCTACTTAACCTTCTAGTACTGCTGGAAACTTAAAATCCGATTGCGTTCAGTTGTTAGCCTTCGGAAAATCACGGCGCGTTAGTGACAACATTGAGCATTGACATTACACAGCACTGAAGCGTCATTATAACGCTCTACGCTAACATTGTAGATGTCGTCACTTTTTCCATAGTTCTTTCTCCGGCTTTTACGAGCTTTTCTCTTCCACAAAACAACATTAAAACACGTATACTGTATCCATTCAACAGATGTTTTTTGCTTAAATATCATCGATTATAACGATAATGATGCTGAGATGTTTGCCGCATGGTGTGGTGGTGAATGCGTTACCCCTCGTATAGGGTAGTAGTGAGTTCAGTTCTCACCGCAGGCACTTGCGGTCCGGAGTTTTGAAAATATCTCAACATCGTTGTGGTTATATTTCACATCATATCCTGCTATAAAAAGAATAGGGAGTAAATAAAAAGTGATTAAATCTTCAACTATTTGCAGATTTTTGGGACGTCCTTTATGGATTGGAAAGTGGACCACGATAGCTTCCTGAGGGCCGGCAATGCACTTCATAAACTGAAAATGTATCCCTATTTTGACATCGCCCATTACTTGTTGGTGAGTTCAACCAGCGGATGCCATTTATGCTTCGTCTTTCTCAAATGGATTATGACGTAATAATACTTCCTTTCATAGTTCTTCTAATTCTTACAAATTGCAGTAGTATGGTATAAAGGAATTACAAACATCTTTTAATAGAATACTTACTTATTGATTTTTTAGTAGTTTGTTAATTATTGTATAGACTTATCAAAAACTTTTGTGATGTCGTGAAAAGCCCATTGGAAGATATTCATTCAGTGTCCTGCCTTTGTTCTTGCATATTTTCTTAAACTTGTTATGATAAACAAAAAAGCTGGTCAGTTGGAATTTGGCAGCTATATATGGGTATTTTCTATAAACTTTGCCATAAATAATCGATGAATTTGTTTATATGCTCTTATGAACTGATCTTGTTGAGCTGATGGGTGATTGGTATAAGTCACTGTTGCTGTTGTTGTTGATGTTGTTGTTGTTGTTGCTGGTCGATATTTGACATTTCGCCGATTTCGCCTTTCTCAGAGCCGTGTTGTCACGAGAAGATGGGATTATTTATGCTCTCGTGTGTCTTGTTTTCCACTACTGTAAGGTCTGCAACCATTTTGATTACGCCCTTGAATGGCTTGTGTTCACGATGAACAGTGCACGTGCTTGCACGTTTTCTATATCATTGGCATGTTTCCAGTTCTGAAGTCTTTTCTTCCTTTGAAATCTTGAGAATCCTTTGCAAGCTATGAATACAAGCTGTCGTGGACTGCTAACTTGTTACGTCCTGACTAGATCTGTTTCACTACGGCGGCAGTTCCTGCCCTTTGTTTATTTTCAACCCTGGCTTCCGACTGAAACGTGAAAATCCTTCTGTTGCTGAGTATTGCTGATAGGGAGTGGCACCTTGTTGTACACCTAGGACCATCTCACTTAAAATAAGCCAGATGAGGCTTATTACGGTTTTCCTTTATTGGCAATATTTGCCATAACTAATCTTATTCAAACATTTGCTCGTGTGGCACGAGACTGCAGTCACTATTAGACTGTTGCTCAATATTTTCCTTCGTAATATTTTTGCACTTTTGTTTCGCTATTAAAAAAGATAACTTGGTGGAAAACCGGTAAGAATTGAAAGCACCGAAGAAGCATTATTGTTTTTTAATCACCTTTTGGTGGTTTCATAGGTGGGTATCGCTCACCGAACTTTTTTTTTCGCAAGAAAAAATAATTTTTTTTCAAGATTTCGCAAGAAACAGATATGCATATGGATGGATATATAGGAGAGTGCATGTTGTAGTGATAAAAATCCCTCTTAATAGGCGCGAGGCGATGGTGCCATCGTAGTTCAGGCCATTTGAACTTATTGTTCTCTAGGGTTGTGGAGTTAGTACAGGCCCCTAGAAAGCTTCCTATGGTTCAGCACAAGACCTAGGAGTCTTCTAAAACGGCTATCGCAGAAGTCCAGTGGAAGTCGACTCGATGGGCATTCAACGGGATTCAATAAAGAGGAGAAAAATCATCAAACAACAAGCAGACTCACACTGAAATCCGAAGATCTTCGTTGATGTTATATACGTATATGTATATATGTATATATATACCATGCATATGCCATACAGTCGAAGGTAATTATGTAATTGTTTAGATCTAACTTAACATACCAATGGATAGTTACTGTTTGCTGCATTGTTTTAGTCGACAACCGAGTCAGACAATGTTTTGTAGATGTGTGATCAAGTCCGCCAGGATTTGGGATCGAGTTCACTACCCTTCTCCCGTCGTCATCCGTTTTCTTGCTGGCTCTCATCTATGTTGATGTGTTTCTCTGGTAGATTCCTTGCATGTTTTTTGCTTGGCGAGCCGGTCATCACCCCGTTTCGAAAGCACGATGATGTGATCTTGGTTAGTTAATGAGAAAAGTTTCTTTTTTCTTTATGTCATGCAAAGCACAACACTCGAAATTCTTTGTTATCGAACAACCTTGATACAATGCGGTAGTTCATTCTCATTACAGGCCTCAATCATATGGTATTCTGTTTTCTATGCACCATTCGACGTAGTTTATAAATTATTCCTTTTCAAGCCAGTAAAAATCGTAGCGAACATTGCTAAGGAAGTCCAGCGAGTTCATAAGGTAATAGAACCTAATTGTGGTAGTGTGGTTTTTTTTTATTATATTGTTATATTTGTACAGGAGGTGGGCGTGAATGGCAGAGTGGTCAGAGGTGCCCTGCAATACACGTAGGATGGTTTCCTGCGCCCCCGGTCCACCAAGCCTTCCATCCCTCCGAGGTCGATTGGTCAGAGGTGCTCTGCAATACACGTAAGATGGTTTCCTGCGCCCCCGGTCCACCAAGCCTTCCATCCCTCCGAGGTCGATAAATTGGTACCAGACGTCTGGGAGGATAGCAGTACTAGGTCGATACATCGGTAGGCCACCGTGAGTCATTGTAAAGGCCAGATATGCATTCAATCACCTCCAGACGATGCTTAATGAAGTCGAATGCATGGCGCATCCTCAGGGATTGTGCAACACCGAGAGCTCTATCCTTTTTTAGCTTTATAGTTATGTTTATGTAGGAGTAGTTCGATTTGGTTTCCCACTTCACAGTATTGAATATTTCGAAATGGATAATACAGCAGTATCAGGCAAATACTAATGATCTTAGAGGGAATTCGGGTTTATTGATGATTTAATAGGCTGCTCAAATGAAAATGTCGTTTTCCAACTGTCAAGAAGGGAACTAAAGCCAGAATCAACTACGTCTGTTTATAGATAGCCCATGGAATAGCATATGCAACAAAACTCTACCCCGAATCATATATAGTTCAAGAATTAGTTGGTATAGCAAGCGGAGCTGGTTCGGGAATTATGAAAATAGCTGAGCAGGTTTTCAATCTTTTTACTTGCTCTTGGTGTTCCTTCTTTTGAGTTCTGATTTCTGAACGATATCCCTATCAAAAGAGCCTAAATTCATATTTTTCATTAGCTCGTCCGTGGCTCGTGGTCCCCGTCTCAACACGAATTGTTGCGTCCGTCGTTTACGACCAAGGCGTGCATTTTGGCTTCTCTAGTGTTCATACTAGAAAGGAATAGTGTTTATATCACGGCACCACACGATCTTGTCTACTTGGTGAGCGGTGGATCCATTGAAAGTGGTGATCTCTTCACGAATGGGTTAATTTCAGTTTGTCGTTGGATTCTTCGTTTATTTCAAATTAGCTGCCATCCTGTTTGGCGTTACGGATCCATTTGCACCACTCGAAAATCTCTTCTGTGCGTTGTTCATGGGGGGAATTGGCGATGCGCTTCACAGGTTCGTTCAATAATTTTACGTTACTGAAAAAAGATTGTTGGAGTTGGTCTTAAAATCAAGACATATAAGGCTATTCATTTTTGATCTGTACAATCATCTTGATTTCCTGTCTTTCATCTTATGTGAGTCGTATATGCAACATTTAACCAAACCTTGGTGTTTTTCCCCTTTACGAACGGGAGTCAATTCATGTTATTTGTGAACTAGAATGAAACGGTAGTGGGTTAGTTAAGTATTTGGATGAACTGTATCCACGAAAAGTCATATGGATCCGACGAAGTTTTCTGTTTAGCTAGAATGTCTATGGTCTATCGCGATTTTTTGCCCAGAATCATGAGAAGGCCATGACATGACGTTCGTAGGTCACAAAAATTTGCAGATTGTGTGGAGAGAAATAATCCATCTTGCGACTGGACTATTTGTAAAACTGAGGCTATTCCTGGTATACGTCACAGAGCTTCTTGTTGAAAATATACCACTCAGGTCAGAAGCATCGCCGCAGCTACGATGAGGCTGTGGACCATTGGGGTGGGAGTAGGCATAATGATATAGAAATCAAATATAAGCATCAAATGGATTAAGAGGTTGCAAAACACACTATTATGTGTGTTAGTCCATTTGAGATGTGACGTGAAATAAGAGACATGGTTGATGACTCTGAAGAAGACGATACTGCCGAAACGTTAGGTAAGGTTGTGTTGTATGTGTTATTGTATGAAAGTAAACGTATGCTGTTTAACAACCTCGCGATTGCTGAGAAGGAAAACGCCGAAACGACAATAAATATTTTGAAACGCTCATTTATACCGAGGTCATTCTAACCAAAGTTTGCCCCAAATCATCACTATCACAGGCAGTCGCCGCCTTTGTGGATAAGAGGGAGATTTGCCACCACGCGGCTAGTTTTATACCAGGCCAGTGGTGTTGGTTTCCTGTTAGCTGAGCTCCCTGATGGAAACTCCAGACTTTTCCTCAGCTTGAGAGGTTCTGGCGGGAGGATGAATCCCCGGTATACACCGCAGCTCGAAACCCACGAACACTTCCCAGGCACGATGAGGAGGTAAACTGTTGGGAGATTACCTATGTATACATATATATATATATATATAGACGTACACATATACGTATATACATATGCATTATGCCTATATATGTACATACTCATGTATACCTAAATGTATACATGTGCATATACGTATATGTATATATATAACTGTATATATGTATATAAAAAAGGATAAAAAGGTTAAAGCTGTCGACGTTGATCAATTCCTGATTGATGCCCCATGCATTCGACTTCATTAAGAATCGTAAGAGGTGATTGAATGCATATCTGGTCTTTACAATAACTCACGCCGACCTACCGATGTATCGTGCCAGTGCTGCTATACAACCAGACACTACGGGTACCAATTTACTGACTCCGGAGGGATGGGAGGTTTTGGTGAGCCTGCAGCGTGGGGATCGGGATCACCATCTGTATTTCAGGGCACTTCTAACCATTGCGCTACACGCGCCCGTTGCTGGTTACCTTTAGATGGATACACATATACTTATATATATATATATATATATGTATACAACTTATGCATATAAATATATGTATATCACATTTATGTAGCGAAACTACATCAATTTGGTGTTTTAGTCATCGTTTTCGTTTACAAAAGGAACCTATGTGCGTGTTGTTTTTATCCATTCTCTATTCTTCAGAGCTGTTGATGCAACAAGAGAAGAAGCAAGTGCGGGAAAAAAGAAAGCGGAGGACGATCACGTTGATGACAGAAAATGGAAAAAGAATGATAAAAAGACTAAATGACGATACGTACCTGATGTTGTAAGTTACACACGCTGTTACCAGAGTATCAGTGGAAGACGAAGAGGAACTGTCAGCGTTTCTTAAATGGCTGGGAATTGTTACGCAAATCGATTTCAATGGTGATATTGAAAGATCTGTAACAACGTTATTAACAGTCTTATTAATGTCTTTAATAGACATTCGTCTGATTGGTGGCCAAGGACTTCCATTTTCTGTGGTTTTTCTGCTGCATATTTCATTTACAGGTTTGTTACTGTGATTTTGTACTTTTCCGAGCGTAGAAGTTGTAGATTTCTATCCTTTCAAATGCTCTGTCACACTTTTGTGCTTATAATGTCATCATTTGTCGGTTAACTCTAGGCTTTACATTGAATTGGAGACTCGACCATAGGTCCATAGGTGGTTATCGATTAGGGGAACAACCTTTATGGTGTTATCTATCACGTGTGTGGATGTGACGTTGTATGGTACTTTCATATAGAGTTTTTATTGTGGAAGAATTATTTACAATATGAGGTGTTTTCGTCCATGAAATTGGAGTAAATTTGTTTGGCCTAAGCTTCTACGTATTTGTCTTTCGATTTTGATATTTCTATAGTGCAAGACAGGATTAGGGGTTATATTTTCAACGACTTGTGACTTTCCGTTGTTCTTTTTACAGTTTTTTCCTCTGTTTCCATTTTCTTTGAATTCCATGACTCCGTTTTTTGAAAATGCGTCCGTCGAACTTAATGTGATCATCCTTTCTTGTTTTTTTAGGAGTGTGGGTGTGTAATGGCAATTCTGAGGATGGCCATCGGCATCAGTGGTTGGTTTCCCGAACTGATTAATACCACGTGTATGGTAATTAATAAGTTAGAATTGTCAAGGTAGTAATATATTTGGAAAGCAGGTGTTGTTACTTAGTAGCAGTTTCAGATCTCTCTTAGCTGCTCCACATATCCACTGTGAAGTATTGAATGAATTGGAAAAGACATGGTCTGCAGTTCATCTGTTTTATTTGAACTCTCTAAAGTGGATTGTTGAGGGTTTTTCGATTGTAGTAATGCGACATGGGAAGAGATCTCTTTGCCGTGTGTGTGTCTGCATTGATCGGACAAGTTATTTTGACACGGAACACCGTAGACAGTGAGTTAGTATTGCTTCATGTTGTTCTAGGAACTCATCACTGTATGACATTCCATTTTACATTCAAGTGCAGGGAGTAGTCATGCTAAATAATATACTTGTAAGCCGTTTGACGTTTTCACGAGCATGAGGTTTATGAGCCAAGCGGACATTCGTATGCATGACGTGTTGTTGTAAAGTGTTGTTAGCCGCAGCCAGTTGATGCACCATCGTCTCCTTTGATTTGTGGCAGAATTCTTATTGTTCTGATATCCTTTTTTTAAACACTATTGGCATCTTATTGTCTAACACATAACGGTAGACATGCATGCAGTAATATATATGTGGTGCAAAATAGTGGCAGATTTCAAATTCAGACGGGCATATCCCAGAAAGCATCCCTCAGAGGTTTGCATAAGTGAACTTGAAGACGGCGACATATGGACACTATCTACATGAACTGCCTGTGTTGTATTTGATATAAAAGGATAATACTCTCGGTTTTGATTAATCCCTTAAGGATTCGTCATGCATTCGACGTCTTTAATTATCCCTGGAGGTGATTGAATGCATACTTGGCCTTTACAATGACTCGCAATGGCCTACCGATGTATCGAGCCAGTGCTGCTACCCTCCGAGACAAGTCTGGTACCAGTTTACCGACTGCAGAGGGATGGGGGGCTTGGTGAGCCTGTGGCGCGGGGATCGTTCCCGTGTGTACTGTAGGGCGCCTCCGACCACTGCGCTACACGCGCTTTATTGTGTTTAATATAGGGCATTAAGTTTCGACAAAAATATACTTCGTAAAATGTGTCGAGTATAATTTTACAAGCACTTTTTACATTTTCGTTTTTGGGAAGAGAAACTATGAATTAACTATGGATATCAATTGCTTAAGGTACGTGCAGTTACATGTAGTATCTCCACACTCCTTTTTCCTCCCGTCTTCTTTTTACGGTTAGTATCAACTTTTATTGAACCTTTTTTCATTGAAAATTTGTCTAGGAAGTGAAGAGAATCCAATAATAGATATTTGGGTGCTTCAGCTTATTATGGCGACCTACGCAATCTGTTTGTTCATAAACTTCTACTGACGGCTATTATCTTCTCATATTTCTCTACGACATTTAATACAGTGGTCAGAACACGTATTTGCATTTATTAACACATTGAACGGAAGAATTTGTAAGATTTACACGTAAAACTATGAAGGTTTCAATAGACTTTAATTTAACCTTGTGGAACACCTCCGCCATCAACTCCTCGTGTCTTCAGACAAACCGATGTCATAGTAGACGCTTGGTCCAGGAAGGCGCACACATGTGAGCTTGATGTAACACGCAAAATGTACTGAGCTGGTTTAGTGAGCTCTATGGCATTGCCTTGTTATCTGGAGTTGTTACAATCATTCTTTGCTACTTAGTTGACAACTGTTAGTCACATAGGTTGTAACCTTGGTTGCCTCGTCAACACCAGCAGTCAGTCGATTCAACTCTCAAATCACTTTTTCTTATTAGATTTATCCCCATAACAATCAATTCGGCCTCACTACTTTATGTCCGGTATTGCTTTGTGAGTTCTTTGCAATTCGGTTCGCAGCTCTTTGCCACATAGTTTGTAAGTTGTAGTGCATTCTCAGCACCAACGAGTCGGTGCGACTCTCATATTATCTTGTTTCAAAACAAATTTGTATTTGTAACAGTCCTTTACTCGTTTTTTTCTACATGGCCCGACATCTAGACTTATGTGGATCTCAGTAAATGCATTTGATTGTAAAGTTATTACTTAACTTCGAGGTGAACAATTGTGGTAGAGTTCCTTATACATCCTTTCTTTCTGGAATCCTTGTTTGTACAATTTGATCTATTTTTACGCATTTTTATGCGTAATTAAATAAGCCGAATCTGTTTTACGATTGGTATTGGGTTCTTCAAAGTGAATTATTAAACTCTACAATAAGGACGGTTCTGGGTGTTTTTTTTCCATATATTTCCCATTTCACCGTATGTTCGTATTATTGGTTTATTTATGTGTTAATTTCTGTCCACTCAAGACTACTGGACTAAAAATGGAAAATAAGGAAAGGTGAGTGCCGGTTTTATTTTGTATGAATTAAAACCTACGAAAAACGATTAGGAACCGTTTGTAATAATAGTGTTTCGTGTAACCACACAATCTGTGACGAGTTTGGGAAACAGTATTTGTGTCAAGAATTTCCTAAAACAGATAGGAATGAGACAGATGAGACAAACAAACCCTTCTTATACAAATCAAAGTCGATGGTGCTGACACGCTAGCCATCGAAACCGAAGAAACACGTGTAATAATAACTTGGAGTCTGCTCAAAAATAGGAGCGGAGTAAGTTGTTTGTTGAAGTCAAGGTTAATTATAAGCCAATTTTCTCAGTCAATGTTAAATCCACAGTTTCATAAGTGCACTTGTTATCGAAAAATCGTCGATAGTCATCAAAAATTGAGCTTCTTCGCCAATTTATTGATTGAGATAGTTCCACAGGGAATGCAGATCTTGAATGTTTGCATTAAAAGATAACTGAATCAGCAGTACAAAGGATGAAGCTATTATTGTGTGGTCTAGCATAAAATATACTAATAATATAATAATACTGTACGAAAACTTAACGTTATAACATTTTGACAAAAATGTACTAATTGTAGTAGTTAGCTTAATCCTTAGGCTTATAACTTTATTGCAATTTATTCCTTCAGTTCAAGATCGCGTACTTCACTTTTCGATCCCCAATATTAATGGAGCTTTTTATCATTTGTACTGGGAGGATGTTGTAATTTCGTTTTTATTATTGAATATTGTGAAGCCCTAGAGATCTGTGATTTTTATTATTCACCAGGAAGCCCATTCAGTAAATTACATGTCAGTTGGTTGGTTTTTAAACGTTTGTAGTAGGCGATTTCCGTTGACGTTTTTCTCGTATGAAGTTGGTTAGGATTCGTATTGCAGCTCTTCTTAGCAAGCGATTTGTTCACCTTCACATCGACAAGAGGAAGTACTGTCTGTCTTTCTCTCATCTGTCTGTTTGTCTTCGCCACACGTTAGTTTACATGCACTTTTTGAGACCTCCAGCTGTTCTCATTCAGTTCTAGGGGATTACTATGGGATATTCGTTGTATTTTATACAGAGAAAACTTGATTTATATTGTGTAAGCATACCTGATCGTGTTGTCCCGTCTAGTATTAAATAATGCGAACGCACACTAGAAGACATTTGGTCCGTTTCGCGTCAGGGCTGTTCTCGTTAGGCTCTGTTCGCTGAAGCGATGGAAATAGCACCAGCTGCTATTTCTCCTCAAGTGTTTATTTGCGAAAGGATAGCCACTGATAGCCTGCGGAAATCTGCCGTTGTATAGTTTCGACTCAAAGTGGTTTTTTTAGGGCACGGTGTTTGGGATTGCAAAGTATTTGACAGTGCTGTGCTTACAGGGGTGATATTGGTTATTAGAAAGATCTTAGGATCGGTTATAAACTTGCCCTTGGGGTTTTTGCATTTGTAATAGAAAGTCCGTTCTCCAGTGTTTTGTGAGGGCTAGTAAAAATACGGAATCTGCTGTAAACTTAGGAGGAACGGGATGCAAACCGTTGTATATGAGGCCAGCGCCTTTTTTCTTTTGCCATAGTCTATTTTAATAACAGTAGCGACATCTTTGCATGGAAGTTTCGATATTTTCCACTCTAATAACGTTACGTTAATGAGTAATACTATAAGTGATAAATCATAACGCTCTCGGTTTTGACTTAATTAAGCATCTCTTCGGTGTGATTGAACGCATATCTGGCCTTTATAATGACTCGCGGTGGTCTGCCCATGTATCGAGCCAGTGCTGTCCTCCTTGACAAGTCTGGTAGCAATTTGCTGACCACGGAGGGATGGAGGGCTTGACGAGCCACGGGCGCGGGGATCGACTTCGTGTGAATTTCACGACGCCTCCGACCATTGCGCTAAACGCTCCTGAGTAATGCTATACGATTGCAAATACTGCTGATCAGGATTGTTTCAGTACTCATGGCGACGTTTTTTTTACACTTGTTTTCCTACTTTGTGTCATTTTTCGCCGTAATTTTGTGAATTTAGAACCGTAGTAATCATTATTGCTGACTATATAGAAATAAATTAAGGTAGAATGTGGCTGGAAGGGTTGCAATTGGATCAGGAGATCCTGCTGGATGCCGGTGCGCATTTGCATCGGTTGAAGATGTTCCCGTACTTTGACATTGCACACTACGTTCTTGTAAGAAATCTTTTAAATTGTCTTTTCGAGTGGTATTGCTTCAAGTCGAGTTATTAAACGTATTATAACCATGAAACTGAGCTATTTGCAAAACTTCGGACCACTGCTGTCCGTGGTGTGACCCGAACACGCTATCACCCTTGCCGGAGCTAACGCGTTCACCACCACACCATGCGAGTTCTTAAAAGTATTATAGTGCTGAGAGGCTGGACCACTGTTTACTAATACATAACGAGCCAAGCATATTGATCTCAATTTCTATTTCTGCCTTTTTCCTTGCCTTTTAGCTTCGAGAAAGCACATCTCAACTCATAAGTAAAAAAAGGATAAAGCTCTCGGCGTTGGTCAATCCCTGAGGGATGTGTTATACATTCGACTTCATTAAGCATCGTTGGAGGTGATTGAATGCACATCTGGCCTTTACAATGACTCGCAGTGGCCTAGCGATATATCGAGCTAGTGCTGCTATCCTCCCAAACAGGTCTGGTACCAATTTTCCGACCCAGAGGGGTAGAAGGCTTGGTGGGCCATGGGCGCGGGGATCAATTCCACGTCTGTGTAGCAGTGCGCTACACGCGCCCTCTCAGCCTATAGTGAATTCTATTGATTGAAATAGAAAGTTTTAGAGTTCATAGATCTTTGCCTGAACGCTATACGTTTGTTTACAATGATTAACCTATTCTATCTTAGGTAAGTCATTTTTTTTACTGAAGAATGTATTTCGAACACCGGAGCTGTTTAACAATTGGGGTTTCGTAGAACTGGACAGAGTGGTCTTTCAATTTACTGATTCCATACCTTTTATGTGATAGGGAAAAAACGTCTTTTATAATTCGACTGTTTCCAACTCCCTGACTACCCTAGTTGTAGAAAAATCGATAGACATCGAAAAATCTATGTTTGGTATGTTCCGCAAGAAAATATAGTTCATCAAGTACTGTTCTAGGTTTTCTAAATAATAGAGGAGAGGGAATTCTTGTTTTTGATCTAGAAAGTAAATGATTATCATATTTAAGGTAATATGCGAGGTACGTGACGATCTCGCGTCATCTGCCGGTCTGTTCTCCCGTAAACATCCACTCTCGTGTTGGTTATCGTCTATGCTAATGTGTTTTGCTGACTCTTTCCTGGCAAATTTTCTTCTCGGAGAACCTGTTATTGCGCCATTCAAGCGACATGATGATATTCTTTTGGTTAGTTTAATAAATTCAGGATGTTATACATCCAAACCTCCCAAAGGCTTACTGCCTCATCGTAGCTGGGAGGTGTTCTTGGGTGTGGGGCTGCTTTGTACAGCGGTGTTATTCATCCTCAGGCAGGGTCTGTAAAAGTAAACGAATACTAGGATCCACCACCATTCTCCTATCAAGGGAGTGGTATGGTAGCAGATCTCTTGTTGGTCCACAAGGACTGCGACTCCTCGTGGTGGTGAAGACCTGGGGTAGACTTTGGCCAGACTGACCTTGTGATTCCAGGGAACCACAATGGCTTAACCAGCTTATCTCCATGAATTGGAGATTATGCTGGGACCCGCACCGCCATTGAGGACTGGCCGTTCAAGTGTCCAAGTATGTATATATCTAAGAAATGGCGTTAATAAAGTTACTCTAGTTCGGGCCATTTCCACTCTTATTGAATTTTTGTCATTGTAGACGACTATCGTATGGTATTTAATTTTCTATGCCCCATTCGATGCAGTTTACAAGTTATCAAAAATGTTGCCCGTGAAATGCGTACTAGCAGTAATGAAAGAGGTGAAACGAGCCTACAAGGTTAATGTGGTTTTGTATTTCTTCTCTTTTTTATTTCATTTTAGTTACAGTTAGCACTTCCACCGGAAGAGTTTTTCTATTCGCCGTTCTCTTTATTTTTTTAAAAACAATTTATGTATCCTATTTGACTACCAGATATGATTGATGAGATGCTTTTAATGATACTGTTTCCTCTATCTACCTCTATGTACTTGCCATATATTTCAAGGTTACTCATGGAGTTTCGCACGCCGCTAAGCTTTATCCGAGCTCTCACATCGTCCAGGTTCTTGTAGGTACAGCAAAAGGTGCTGGTTCTGGAATTATGAAAACTATTGAACAGGTGTTATTACAGTCAATTCGTTTGAATAGAAAGGAAAGTTGCCGTATTCACGGAAATTAATTCAGCTGGTTCGTGGAGTTTGGTTACCCAATCATAATGAAGCGCTTCGTCCGTCCTTTGCGACGAAGGCCTGTCTTCTCGCTTCACTCGTGTTCTGCTTGGAAAAGAACAGCATTTACATAACCGCACCACATGATCTTGTGTATTTGGTTTGTTTTTTCTACATAATTTGTTGCATGTTTTCAAATTTTTTACCTCTATTTGGGGGCGCTTGTTTGGAACGAGTTTTTTATATTGTCGTGCGGGAGTGGAAGTAGGTTGAACTAGGCGACTCAGTCAAAATTGCTCCTTTCTTTAGAAGAATATGATGCAATAATATGAAAGTTCTGCGCATCATGGTTTTCTAGATTGTCTTTTTTCAGTGTGTAGTCGGCTTCTTCGTGTACTTCAAACTTTCGGCGTTACTTCTCAATGTTACTGACCCATTCGCACCGATTGAGAACTTGTTTTGTGCAGTTTTTATGGGAGGTATTTGCGACGCACTGTCAAGGTAAACCTCTTAGGGAAGAAGTTTAGTTCTCATTTCTTCCTCCATCACATGTTGTTGGAGGATGGTCATGTTTACTTATCAAGCACTAACGAACATTTCGAAAGTTAGGAAAGGTTCATTTTGGTGAGGGACCTTAACATTTTTCGCACTCGTCATGGAATGGGTACTTTTTCCGTCATATTTACCAGATTTCTCGTCGTCGCTTTTCAGCTTATGCAGATTCATTGTTATTTATTGGTTGTATTTTTTTTATTTATTACCTAACACTTCCATCCCTCCGGGGTCGACAATTTAGTACCAAACTTGTCTGGAAGGATAGCAGCGTTGGCTCGATCCATAGGCAGGCCATCGTGAGTCATTGTGAAGGCCAGATATGCATTCAGTTACCTCCAACGATACGTAGTGATATCGAATGCATGGTGGATCTCTCGGGGATTGATAAACGCCGAGGACTTTATCCGTTTTTACTAGCTAACACATGGTTTTCAAAATTATTGTTTATTGATTATTTGAAAATATCCCATAGGTTACGGTTAATCTAGTTTGCACTTTTCAGGGCTCTGGCTGCGGCCCGTGAAAGACGTGCCGCGGGACACGCTTCTGAGAACGGGACGATTTCGAGTGGCGAGAAGAAAGACCAATAATTATTCATTGTTTCTTTTGAATTGGTCTAGTGCACATGGTGCCATAGGTCATGGATCAATGTTGATAGAGTTTTAATATGAGGATACTTTTTTAGTTTTAACGTATATTTATTCTTCAGGACCAATCTTGGTCTTCAGTGTGCTGCCACTTTCAAAGCCACTTCCACTTCAGATTTTTGTCAAATGTCTAGTGTTACAGTTTTTTTACATTTTTATTGCCATAGACCTTGACATACATATAAATATGTATTGGAAACTTAAAACTCGATTGATTTCCCTTCATAGGCAGTGTATGACATGCTTTAACACAAATGAATGAGTGCTTAATGGATCTAACTAGTGCTTGAAGGCTGATTTCTTAAGAATAAATATATATATTTCAGCCGTCTTATTCCATCTGATATACAGTACATATTGTGATTATATCGAGTTGTATTGTATCTTAAAACAATTCCCTGACTTTCTTAGCATGGTTTAAATTTGCAGAGTAGGTACATTGGTGTAAAATGGTCGTAAAAATTAGATAGTGATGTGTGAAGACTCAGTAGAAATGGTTGGAGTATGTCCGGCTATGCTAGAGAATATTCAGGTAAGGTTTCTCTATTGTTTCTATTCGCACCGTGGTGAATGGTCCCACTCTATATCTGTCGCACCAGAAGGGAAGTGTGTAGATTGGAAGTAGGCACGAAAGGTCTTCTTTTTAAAAATTTGATATGTTCTACGGACGTTGATGTGTCAATATTTTACCTTGACGCCCTTATCTAGCACTCTGCTTATGTGCTACCAAACCTTTAAAGGTCATAGAAGTGTGCAGAACAAATTTCAACACCATTTGGCCGTACCTCATGGTTTCATTGAGGAACGCTGACTTCATAGCACTAGACTTGGTATGTCGTGTTACTTTAGAAGTGAATCTGGGAAATTGAAGACTTATTATAGTTATATTGGAATAGGAATTATCCGGTCTTGGAGCACGTCAGGCTAACAGCGCGAAAAATGTTGTGGATCGGTATAAAGCGTTGTCTGAAGCTGCTAGAACGCGGTAAGTCTACTATGGCTTCGTTTAAAAGCACTAAACCCCACCATCCCTTAAAATCGTAGTGTGTTCGATACACTGCATTGGTAGCACGCTATGGTAAATTCATGCGGAAGCTTTTAAGCTTGGATTTTTTCATCTTATCTCTCATTCCTTCCAATGGTTGCCACTCATCGTGGCTGGGAGGTGTTCTTGGGCGTTAACATGCGATGTATACGGAGGGTTTCATCCCCAGGAGGGTTTCCCATGCTGTGGAGTAGTGCGGCGTTTCAACCGGGAAGCATCGCGAAGAGTAAACCAATATCGGGATCCACCAGTGTCTTGGTATCAAACTAGTCGCATGGTAGCAAATCTCCCTCTAATCTACAAAGGCCGCCGGCTGCCTGTGGTGGTGAAGACCTGGGGCAGACTTTGGCCAGGGTGAGCTCGGGATAGGAAAGAACACTGGCTAAACCAGCAAAACACCGAAACATTAGAAACATTAAAAACATTAGAAATTTTGCTGGGGTCTGCACAACCTTTGAGGGCGGGACATCCGAGCATCCAAGCAAGTAGGTATCGTTCACTGTCTCTGAAATAATGCGACTAGTTTCCTCCATTTCTATTTTACTACTTAGCAACGAGCACTTTATATACATAGATACTAATTTATTGTTCGTAGCGTCATTAGATTGTGAAGTGTTCAATTTTCAGAGGTGTTCTTTCGATAGGATTAGCATTTTTCAAGAAATCAGGAAAAAGCGAAACGAAACGTTGTTTAAAATTTTCTTGTCAGGTCAGATATTTTAGCAATCTAACATCAGATACCATGGTAGCAAGAATTTGGTTTTGATAAATGTGTTCTAATGATTTCGAATAAACGTGGTGGGAAGGAATATAACGGTAATAAAGGTGTTATTCCTTTTGGCTGAGGGACATCCTATTTTTTCTTGTTAACATTCACGATTTTTCTTTTTAATTTAAACGTCAAATCAGCCGGTTTCTTTCTTTTTTTCCTTCTCCTTTGTATATGTCACTGAGTTTATCACCATATTCTGTAGTGGTGGGCTGAGATTTTCTTCTTCTATCGATACGAACATCGAAACCCTTTGTTTTTTTTTTTAATTTATCGAGCCAAATATCAGCTACCACAAGGTCGACAAGATGTCCCAAGTGTGTTTGGTCCTTCGAGTAGTTGATGTTTGAGAAAGTTATGCAGATTTCCCATAAAAAAATCTTGGTTATGAGAGCGAGAGATGAGACTGATGAGCTTAATTTGCTTCCTTCATCAATGATTTCAGGTGTTTAATATTCTTTCCATCTGTGCTGAGCCTTTCATTGTTGAACCAGAAGCCCTTGAATTTCTCGCTAAACATGCGTTTGATTTCAATCGCCTAATTGACGTAGGAGTTCGTTACTATCCTAGCACGGTGTTAAAGGTATGTGATAACAGGTGCATTTTCAAAAACTTCTTTCACGTTGGGATGTTGTTAACAACATGCTGAAGCTGTTCAGATTCAGTCAAACGCATGGTAGTATTTATGTGCTCATTTTAATCGTTTTCAATTGACATTTACGTTAAATCCACATGAGAGAAAGAGAGAAAGATCCTACGCCAAGGCAGAATACTGTGGGCTTCCAACGGCTGCCTTATCACGTACTTGGATACTTGGATGGCCCGTCTTCATTGGTTGTGCGGGTCCCAGCATATTCTCCTTTTTTCGGAGTTTTGCTTGTTTAGCCATTGTGTTCCTCTGCAGTCTCGAGATTAGCTTAGCCAAAGTCTGCCACCGGTCGTTATCACCACAAGGGGTTGCTGCCATTGTGGATCAGAGGAAGATTTGCCACCATGCGACTAGTTTGCTACCAGGACGGTGGTGGATCCTGCAATTGGTTTATTCATAGCTGGGCTTCCTAATGGGAACTCCGGACTCATTCTCAGCTTGGGAGACTCTGCAGTGGGGATGAATCCCTCCGCTGGGTATTGCCGCCCGACATCCAGAAACATCTCCCAGCCGCGGTGAGGCGGTAAGCCATTTGGAGGACGTCATCACTATTCTCCGAAATTGTAAAGCGGGAGGGCCTCTTACGAGAGGCCTGATGTTCTTCATGCCTTACCGATGCTCACTTGAATTATTCAATGATTAATAGTTGCATGATTGACAGATAAACCAATGGTTAGTTGAAAGTGGGTTCAACTTTAGAAATTTTTGACAAATCATTAGTCATGTCAGCGTCTTATCTTTTGAAAGTAAGCGTTCCAACGATGACAGTTGACAAATGGTAAACTCAGCTGGATGAGGAGATTGCTGTACTAACCATGTACGTACAATTGATACGTTGAATCTATTTTCTGTTATTTATCATTAACTTCTACATCACATTTCATGGTTCGTTTTCCTGAAACAGAGTATTGTGAATTTCCATCTGATTCCAACGATGGCGATCACCGTCCATAGAAATCTTTTGTTTGAAGTATGGTGGCATGTGTAAGAATCCGTTGTCCACAATATCGGAAACTTTCGATGGCTTTTAGGCAAACCAAGCTGTACCTTCTAGTAACCATTATTTGACTACTTATGTAAGTCAGGTTTACTCTTTGCTCGACTAGCTCTGAAAAAATGGTGTTCGTTTCTACATTGTTAAACGATTTTCTTAATTAAGAAGGGTTAGAACAAGCAGGAAGTTGTTATCGTGACCGATCACATAGTCTTCGATCCTCTATCAGCTGGGGAGGACCTCCAGATTACTTACTTGGATACTTGGATGCCCCGTCCTCACTAGTTGTGCGATCTACAGCAAAATTCCAATTATTTCGAGGTTTTGCTGGTTTAGCTAGTGTGATTCCGTAGAGTTCCAAGGTTCCAGGCCAAATTCTGCTCCAGGTCGTCACCACCACAGGCAGTCGCCGCGTTAGTGGATTGGAGGGAGGTTTGCCACCATGCGACTAGTTTAACCAGGGCGGTAGTGAATTGTGGTATTGTGGTATTGGCTTATTATTAGCCGGGCTTCCTGATGGAAACGCCAGATTCTTTCTCAGCTTGGGAAACCCTGGTAAGGGGATGAATCCCCACACCGTACATCGCAGCCCGGCACCCAGGAACACCTCCCAGCCACTGAGGCGATAAGCCGTTCGGAGGTCCCCACACATTATTTAATATGAACCTTTACAAGCTCTATTATTTGCACTACCAGATATAGTTTTTTGCTGATGTTTTTACATATTTGAGAAACAAACTTTTTTTTCCAACATTTCGTAATTGCGACAATACACTGTTCTTTTTCAGACGTGTTCATTACGATCTCTCATGACAGAGATATGGTCTCGCAGTGTCCCATTGTTCTTTCATAATGGATTAGTAGATCTAGCTTTTATTTATCATCATTTTTATTCTCCATTACCTGAAAGGTGCGTTATCATCTTCTTATAAACCGTTTCTTTAAAGATTTCGACGAATTATCTCCACCACACGGCAATGAAGTCTACCAACTACTTTTTCGAAGTACATAGATTACAGAACCATTTACCAACTGTTTTAGTTTTGGTGAATTCTGCAATGCCATTGCTGATCTGTATCCGTTGGAGTCACCTATCTGTGACACAAAGTACTTAGCTGAGTATCAAAGTCGGATGTCTGCATCCTTTCTCGAATACGTGTTCCGTAAATGGTTAGCTTACTATCTGTTAGGAAAATGAGTTCCGTTTTGATAAATGGTGCTCTAACACTTCTTTTAAGTTATTTAAGCTACTTTTCCTTTCTTACAGTCAAAGAGACAACGTATCAGAAGCATTGGCGTCACGTTTTCACTTAGAAGTCGTATTCGATAGCACGCTAGCGATGATGGCACCAATACGTGCAGCTTGTGAAACAGTCACCTGTCGGCTTCCAGAGGATTTTCCACATCATCTCCGTCCTTATGACCTTCGAGAAAAAGTTTGCGGACAATATTCTGTAGGTTGATGAGTACTGGTATCCTATGTTTTTCTAGCAAGGGGTGTGTATAGCGCAATGGTCGGAGGCGCCCTGCAACACACGGGATCGACCCCGCGTCCCAGGTCCATCAAGCCCTCCATCCCACCAAGGTCGGCAGATTGCAACCAGACTCATCTAGGAGCATAGCAGCACTGGTGCGATACATCAGTAGACAACCGCGAGTGATTTTGAATGCCAGATATGAATTCAGTCACCTCCAGCGACGCTTAGTGATGTCGAATGCATAGCGAATCCCGCAGGGATTAATCAACGCCGAGATCTTTATCCGTTTTTTCTTTTTGTTTTCTCTTAAGTTAGCAGACGGGAATAAATTCAAATGTAGAGTCATGGATTTTGTCGCAAGCAAAGGAAGAAAGAATGCCGCTTACTTCACGATGTTGATTTTGCAATTGATCTGGAGAATGAACAACAGGAAAGGAATCGAAAAAAGAGGAAAAGACGGTATTTTTTCAATAAAATTTCACTTCGCTCCAGTGTATGTATTAAAGCTTATTTTACTTATTTCCTTCTTGAATTTCGAATTGTCTGATTCATACATAGATTTCTCTTCTATTTCTGCTTGGAAAAATATACATTTAAGGTTTGACTATCTGAAGCCTGAAAGTGTACTAGAGAAAGAAAGATTGGAGGAGGAGAAGAAGACGCATAGAGAGCGTATTTCAGTTGATGATATGAAAAATAAACCAAGAATCGCTGTTACCGGTGATGATTGGTTTGGTCCATAAGCTGCTACAAAAGGAATTTTAACTGGTTTCTTATTGATAGGATGTCATCGTGCTGGTGTCGATGCGTTTATGACTGGTTATGCGGCACTGTTCCAAGCTCGGGTTAGCCTCTATCGTGATGGAAGATTGGATGAACAGGTTAGCAAAAAGACGAGAATTTATTGCTGATAATGAAGTGGAACATTTGAGACCATTAAAGCTACATCGTTAAGCACCTGAATCGTATTCCACTCCCAGGGAAGAGCGAGCCGTTAGTTATTCAGCGGACTCAATTCGCCGGATCCTGCAAAGTACACGAGAGTCGCTTTGCTGATATCCAAGTGGAACGCACCAGAAATTCTCTTCTTCGTAGCTTAACTAAAACCGATGTGACTTCAGCTGACGGCACTTATTTCTTTCCTGACTGTGAGTAGGAAACGCTGTTGACATTAACTGCTGCTCATATTTCTACCTCTTCATTTTGTACACATTTTCGGTGATTTTAGTCGAACTGACTCTTTCGTTTGCATAGATAGTCGAGTGATGGATTTGAAGAGTACTATTGAGAATAGTACTCCGTTATGGGTACTTTGTTACACATTCTTCACCTGTTAGGCGTTCATTGTTTATGAAAAAAAAGATGTGTTAGCTTTCTGATCCCACCTTTACAGTACGTAGGTTTGTTTTGTTGTGGACAACATTATGCCATAACTTAAAACACATTGTCACTTGGAAATTATTCACTAATCAGCCCATGAGGGCGCGTTTAGCGCAGTTGTCGGAGGCGCCCTGCAATACACATGGGTCGATCCCCGTGCCCATAGCCCACCAAGCCTTCCATCCCTCCAGGGTCGGCAAATTGATACCAGACTTGTCTTGGAAGATAGCAGCACTGGCTCGATGCATAGGTAAGCCATCGCGAGTCATTGTAAGGGCCAGATATGCATTCAATCATCTCCAAAGGATTCTTAATAAGGTCGAATGCATGGCGCATCCCTCAGAGATTGATCAACGCCGAGAGCTTTATCCTTTTATCGCTTTAATCAGGCTAAGGACATGAGTAGTATTGCGGATTATGAGTGGGTTCACAAAAGTCGTATTGTTGCAAGAATACTTCCGAAGCAATCTTCGTGAAACAAAATGTTATTTCTGGGCTTATCCTACCAACTTGCATTCCAACCAAAGAGGAGTATTTTAAGTCATTGGAAATGACGGGGAAAAGGCAAAGATGGTGAAAAAAAACGACTAGAAACATGCTGATAACTAAAAAGTTGGGTTCATGGCATTAACTGTATTTTGCTAGCTTATGCTCTCAGAAAACATTAAAGCATCAATGTACCTGATTTCATTGATAAGCCAGCACGAGGTTGGCATCGAACATTCATTCGCCTAACGTGTCGACGTCTTCATTAGAGGCGATGATAGGAGCCAATGGTCCACAGTCTTTTGTCTTCTCGATGTGGTGTATCGTATCGAGCGAATCGTCTATCAGTGGAGAGGCGCTCGAATTAGGCGAATTCACCTTTCGACACGATACGACAAGAATCTCTAAATCGAGAGTACGAGCGACTGTGGACCTTCGATTCGGTTCATCGAGAAATTTGAAGACGAAATCGTCGAGACGCCGGCCGAATAAATGTCTGGTAACAAGTTCGTGTTAGCTTATCGATTAAATAGGACATATTGTTCATTCATACCAAGGTTGGATGAAAGTCGGTTCACAATGGTATTAACAAAGGGTTCGATTTTCTACTATCCTCTGCAGGAATCAATGGTTCGCCGTTTTATTGGCGAGAACACATGAGGTTTTTACTATACTATTTTCCCACGATAGCTGATGTTTCGGACTGGCGCGTGTGGCGCCGGTCGGAGGTGCCCTGTAACACACACGTCGAATCGATCTCCGTGGCCATGGCTCACCAGGCCTTCCATCACTCCGGGGTCGGAAAATTGATACCAGATTTGTCTGAAAGGACAGCAGCACTGGCTCGATACATCGGTAGGCCACCGTGAATCATTGTATTAGCCAGATATGTATTCAATGACTTCTAACGAAATTTGACAAAGTCGAATGCATGGCACGTTCCTTAGGGATTGATAAATGCCGAGAACTTTATCTCTTTATCCTTTTTAATGCTTCAACAGTTTTCGCTTTCTTCAGAACCTGGAAAGCTCGGACTGACAAGCAATATAGTCAGGTAAATACTTCCGTGACTTCAACAGAAAAACCCGGGACCCAAAGTTCATTCGCATTTGAAACAACCTGTGCAGACACGCCGTTATCTGTTAGTCCTTGACTTATTCCTATTATTATAGGAAACTAACTTTACAGAGTGTTTAACGTTTTTGTTTTCTGCGTTCTATAATTTTCATGGCAGGTTACTAAGCGAAATACAACCACAACGTTGCTGAGATATTTGCAAAACTCTGGACCGCAGGTGTCTATGGTGGGGAACGAACGCGCTATTATCCTTTCCGGGGAGTAACGCGTTCACCACCGCACCATGCGGGTCCTTCGTTTCGCATGTCTCTCAGCTATTTCTATCGATCTTTTTGCCACAGCAATCACCCGTCCGCGGGGTTGATCTGGGGATTTGGCAAAAAGATCGATAGAAATAGCTGAGAGACATGTGAAACGAAGGACGCGCATGGTGTGGTGGTGAACGCGTTACTCCCCGGAAAGGATAATAGCGCGTTCGTTCCCCACCATAGACACCTGCGGTCCAGAGTTTTGAAAATATCTCAGCAACGTTGTGGTTGTAACTTTACAGAGTTTACATGGATGGGTACTTTGTCTCTCTGACGTTTAAATTGCATTCTGAGATGTTGTGTACGATCACACGTGGTGGCCAGAGATTCCTCCTTGCGATTCCATTTTGGATTCTTAGGATCTCTTTAAAATGCTTTGGGGGCATTGGAAGCTGGATTCTTAGATTCTAGTGCGACTATGGTGATTTTTAGTTCAAAATCCTCTCCGTTATGTCTCTCTGACTTATGTACGCCCCTAGTGCCGTATTTTTGGCTTGACTTAAAATTTACTGTCTAGGTGTTCTTTCACACGGACGCGCAGTGGTCTATCCGTTTCACCAATGTGTTCTTCCCCATACGAGTTATGAGAGATCAGATAAACCGTACCCGAACTCATGCAGTCACTGTCGCTACCGTTAGAGCAAATTATGGAATTGTGCGTTGTCGGTAGATGGTCACATAGTCGGTTTGCTAACCAGCTGGCTTCTTAGGATGCTCGGTGGTATTTCAATTATTCGTACTGAATTCTCTAGACAGACCCTTCTTAAGCAACGTTTTATAGCTGTAGTTATTTCGTTTGAGATAAAGCGCAGGATAAACGGGACCTTATTGTCACAACGTGAACGAGCTAGTTTCTTAGAGTGTTCGGTGGTATTTCCATCACCCCTATCGAATTCTCTGGACGGCCTCTTTAAGAAAACATTTTAGAGTTGTGTTTCTTTCATTGGAAATGATGGACAGGAAAAATGGAAGCTTATTCTTGTTTGACGTGGGTTGATACTTCAACGACGTCGAGAGTACTCCGCACCACTCACGGAGCGCTTAAACGATATCTTCTGAAATACAACCGGCACTCTCAATATGTAGCCGGAATGAGAAGCTCTGATCTTCGAAATCTGTCACATCTTCGAGATCCAGGAGAATATACATCGATAAAGAAACATAGATGGGTCTATCACATAATCAGAAGATCAGACGACTTCATGAGAATGCAGAAATCCTTGAAGACAACCATCTCCACGTTGGACGGACGTGTTCGTGTTGGACCCAGAAGTATGTCGAACTCCTTCCCGACTTTACAAAACTCGCTGAAAGGTGAAATTCAGCCGTGTTTCACGGTTCGACTCCTGTAGCCGACTAGAAGGCTTGAACTACTGGCAGAGTTTCTGTGGTACACACCATACGGACCGCATTAACGAATTGGGATCCGAGTGACGACTTTTGAGTAGCAACCATATTCCAGGTTGATGTGCTGCCGACTACAGCGCCGAAACTTTCATATCATTCACATTCTGATTTAGGGTAAATTTGAGAAGAATGTTCTTGTTTTTTCATGTAGTTCCTCCCAATGGTTTACCACCTCATGGTGGTTGGGAAGTGTTTCTGGGTGTCGGGCTACTATATGCAGTAGGAAGCAAGGTCTTCCAAGCTGAGAACGAGTCCAGCGTTTCCATCAGAAAGCCCAGCTAAGAGTAAACCAATACCTAGATCCACTATCGTCTTGGTATCAAACTGGTCCCATGGTGGCAAATTTCTTTCCGATCCACAGGGGCGGTGAGAGCCTGTAGTGGTGATAACCTAGGGCAGATTTTCGCTAGGCTGACCTCAGGACTCCAGGGAACCACGATAGCTAAACCAGCAAATCGCTGGAGAGTGGAAATTGTGCTGGCGCCCGTACAACCAGCGAAGACGGATCGCCTAAGTATCCAAGTAAGTATTTGATGCAATTCTCGTTACCACATATGGAGAGGCAGTTCGACTTTTATTTGGTGATGCACAAACTGGAAAAAAGAGCAAAAATTTAAAGAGCTTGAATTGATCTATCAGAAACTTGTACTCTTGGACTAATTCTTCCATGTTGTTGTTCACGGTAAATAAATAGTACTTTTATTGAAGTCTTAAGACTACTTACGTAAAAGACACTTTAACAAACTAGCGCTTATCGTTTTATAGTTTAAAAAAATCGCCAAAAAAAACTGTATAACCAGACACACCTGAAATCGTCCTCTAATGCTAGACAAAAATACAAGGATAAAGCTCTCGACGTTTATCGATCCCCGAGGGATCCGTCATGCATTCAACATCATTGAGCATCGTTGGAGGTTATTGAATTCATATCTGGCCTTCACAACGACTCGCGGTGGCCTAGCTATGTATCGAGCCAGTGCCGCTATCCTCCTAGACAAGTCTGTTACCAATTTGCCGACCCCGGAGGGATGGAAGGCATGGTGGGCCATGGGCTCAGGACCAATCCCATGTGTACTACAGAGTGCCTCTAACCACTCCGCTATACGAGCTCACATCTATCTGATGCTGATGGCAGACAAATTAGGAAATTAATTTTGTATCGCCGAATGATACATTTCGAATGTCTTTAGAAAGTTTTACAGCAAATACTTGGAAAGGCCATATCGAAAACGACGGTAGAGATCAACAACATAGAATTTCGATGGTCGGGTCACGCAACGATGACCCGCGATCCCGAAGCTGCTTAAACAAGCGGCGCGAGGGAGCTATGATTGTGCCCGGTCCGATTTGTACTTGCTGTAGTTCGTCTGCGATTATTATTACGAACTGATATCCATTTATCACTTACTTATTAGGATATTAATAGGATGGCATGATGCAACCAGCTACATCTCAGGACCGACATTCTTACAACCATGCCATTGATCAATAATACACT